GGAGGAAAGGAAGATTCCTCCTTGAATAGGCATTGATTGTTTTGGTCAAGAGTGGAACCACTTACTCATGACTCACTTGCACTAGCCAGGAAGAGGAGGGGTCAGATTCACACCAATACTTCTTGTGAAGTGAATGGGCTGGACTCTGAGAATACAGATGGGCTGTTGGTTGGCTGGCAGAGGGGAATCAGATCCCTGCAAGCCAAAGAAACTTTCCTGAATGTGTGTGATCATTTCAGTGAAGTAAGAGGATAGTTCTTCACAGTGCTGGGTTCTGCTGTAGGCTGCAGACATCATGGTTAATGAAGCAGTTTACCACCTCAAATAGTTTCTTGAGTGGTATTTGAAGTGGAGGCTTATAGGAAGGTTCATTTGGCCTGTAATACAGCTTAATGTGAGCTCGGAGGAATTCTTTGTCTTTCAATCTCTCTCTTCCAGCCTTCGTTTTCTGCTGTCGGTGCTTGAGTTTTTGTCCCTCTGTCTTCATCCAGCACAGGGTTTCAGAAAACCAAGATCTGTGTGGCTGACGAGGAAGGAAGTGCCTCTGCGGGGGCCATCATGGTGAAGGTCAAGGCTCAAGTATGAGAATAATGATTTCTCAGATCCTCAACATCTTAGCCTGTTAGGGGAGTGGTGCAATCCTTTAGCATGTTTTGGAATTTGATAAGGTCCATGAGTCTACATGGATTAATCAAATTCATGGGCCTTTCTTGTTGCATTGGAGTTGGGAGATCTCTGATCAATGTCCTTACTGAAGTGATGGTCTTTTCTGAGACAATGGCTTGTTTTGCGATGTCCTCTGTATGAACATCTGATTTGACGAACAACTCACAGATGTGAGTTACACATTCTGCTGGTTTCTCCAGGTACCGTTGAGTCCACCAGTTGTTATTATTTGTGTAGCAGTAACCACATGCTCACATGCATACAAATAGACTGTCCTGGCCCAGGGTAGCAGCCTTTGGGTATGTCTACACTACAGTAAAACACCCATGGCCAGCCTGTGTCAGCTGACTTGGACTTGTGGGGCTCGGACTGCGGGGCTGTACAATTGCAGTGGAGATGTGGACTTGGGCTGGAGCCCAGGTTCTGGGGCCCCATGAGTGGGGAGGGTCCCAGAACCTGAGCTTCAGCCTGAGCCTGAACCTCTACAAAGATGTTTTATAGCCCTGCAGCTTGAGCTCCATGAACCAGAGTCAGCTGATATGGGGCCAGCTGCATGTATTTTTTTGCAGCGTAGACAGAGTATTTGAGTCCACCATGTTACACCTGAAGAGTTTACAAGCTAAAAGCAAGATACATAGAATGCAGGACACACTAGGAAATCCATAGGTAGACATAATTTAGTATTGTTATTCATAATTATTATATGATTCCTCCTTGTGGCACAATAGGAGACAAGTTCTGATACGTAGGGTGCAGCTGACTTCTACAAGAACATGAAGGAAGTATGAAAAGCTTAAAATTGATGTGTTAGGCAAGGGGGAGCCAGTGGAGAGTTGCAAGGGGAGGTGTGATGTAGTCTAGTTGACAGGGATGAAAGATAATTTTACCTGTCTCATTTTGAATGGACTAGAGGAAACAATGTAGATATGGATGGCCAGAGTGGAGGAGCTAGCAGTAAAGAAGACAGGAAAAGATCAGGGTTTGAAGAACTGGCTCTTTGGACCATCTAATTGGAGATGAAGAGTCAGATTTTTATTATATTGAGGAGGAAGAAACAGAAGGATTTGGATACAGCCTGAATATAAGGAGAAAGTAAGAGGAAGGAGTTGAAGATGACCTCCAGGTTGCAAGTTGGGGTAACAGGGAAGATGATGGTGATGTCAATGGTAATGAAATAAATGGAGAGGGTTTAGAAGGTCATATAAGGAGGTCAGTTTGAGTCATGATAAGTTTGAGTAATCAGCAAGCCTTGCAGGAAGAATTATTGAGAGGGAGGCAGGTCAAGTGGAAAGAGGTGGTTTTGTGAGTCATCCAAGAAGATATGATATTTATGGAAATTATAAAGTCTGTTTGCAGTGTAGTTGTAGCCGTGTTGGTCCCAGAATATTAGCGAGACAAGGCGGGTGAGCTAATATCTTTTATTGGAACAGCTGTTAGTGACAGAGACAAGCTTTCGAGCTACACAAAGCTCTTCTTCAGCTCTGAGTAGCTCAAAAGCTCGTCTCTTTCGCTATTATAAGGTCTGATGGTTTATTGGAGCAGCTTGTGTGCTCACAGGTATGAAACCCACCACACTGGTTGCTAGGGGAATATTATAGGTGATCAGAGCAGTGCAGAGATGGGGGAGATAGCTGTGCTGGGAATGGAGGAATGTGATGGGATAGATAGTTACTGGGGAGGCCTAGAGTGTATGTGTTATAGGGGGCAATTGGGGTGGCGGCAGAGTTGTGCAGGAGGTACAGCAGTGTGTGGGTGAACATTACAGGTAAAGCTCTGCAGGATAGGGAAATATGATGAGGGGGGTGGAACTGCTAGTGTATCTAGTTTTGCAAGTTCATATACTACAAAAATGGGTGCCAGTAAAAGAGGGGTGGCCAAATTTACTGACCCTCCAAGCTGCACACAACAATCTTCAGAAGTTCAAGAGCCAAGGTGTGCCTGTCGGGGCTTGAGGCTTGAGCTCCACGGCAGGGTGTTGAGGTTAGGGGCTTCTGCCCTGCAGAGAAGAGGGATCTCAGGGCTTCAGCCCCACAAGAGGCACCTGTTGAGGTTTGGGGCTTCAGCACTGCAAGAAGGGGGAGGTCTTGGGGTTTCAGCCCCACTCCTGCCTGGCAGACACGCCCCGCAGTATTGAAGCCCTGAGACCCACCTCCCTGCTGGGAAGAGCCAGAGACGACGGGGGTGGGGACTCATGGGGTGACATGCTCCCCCAGATTTTTGCCAGGATTTGCTGGCCCCGCTCCATCACGTGGTGCCACTGGGCCCCCTCCCTGCACAGCAGCTGCTGGAATTGGCAAGCTGTGAGCTGTGGCCATGGGGAGAGGCTGCAGCAAACAGCTGGGAGCTGCCGGGAGAACCGCTGAGGGTATGGGGTATGTGTGCCTGGGGGGGCTTGACTCAAGCTGTTGGGGGGGGGGCGCTGAACCTTTAAACTGTGTCCCTCCCCACTCTCAGCAGGCACTAGTTGTCTCTGGCAGAAGACCCGAGCTCCCTCCCACAGTCTGTAGGTGGAGAAGGGGTGGGTGGGAGGGGCGCTGTGTGGGGCTCCGCAAGCCACACTTTAGCTGTAAAATCCCTGCATGTGGCTTGCAAGTCGCAGTTTGGCCACCCATGCAATATAAAAATCTGGATTGAGTCATCCATGAAAGACATTCAACAGCTTTGCTGTTATGGCTCATCATTGTCCTTGTCCTTGTCAGGGTTCCTTCCCCACTGTGAACTCTCGGGTACAGATGTGGGGACCCGCATGAAAGACCCCCTAAGCTTATATTCTACCAGTTTAGGTTAAAAACTTCCCCAAGGCACAAATTCCTTTCCTTGTCCTGTGGTATTGCTGCCACCACCAAGTGATTTACACAAAAATTCAAGAAAGGGTCACTTGGAATCCCTATCCCCCCCAAAATATCCCCCCCTTCACCCTCTGTCCTGGGAAGGCTTGAGAATAATATACTAACCAATTGGTTAGCAATGTGAGTACAGACCAGACCCTTTATCTTCAGGACACTAAAATCAATCAGGGTCTTAAAAGAAGAACTTTATTATAAAGAAAAAAGTAAAAGAATCACACCTGCAAAATCAGGATGGAAGGTAACTTTACAGGGTAATAAAAAGATTTAAAACACAGAGGACTCCCCCTCTGGACTCAGCTTCACAGTTACAAAAACAGGAATAAAACTACCTTTATAGCATAGGAAAATTCACAAACTAATAACAAAAGATAACCTGATGCATGTCCTTGCCTTACTTATAATTTCTATAATTTTAGATGGATTATTCCAGGTATATTTTCAGGAGATGTTGTATCTGCTTGGTTTCTCCCTCCATTTGGAGAGGGAACAACAAAGATAGTACAAACAAAA